ACGCAGTCTTTAGTCTGCTCTGGTGATTGCGGCAGGGGGCCCGGCCAGAGCCCAGTTTCTTCATGTCTCCCACGCCCGTGAGAACATCATGTGCCCCTCCCTGATTTCGCACACCACTGGGTTAAGCAGAGCAAGGCCCCCTCCCCCCCCCGCAGTGAGGACACGACTACAGCAGTTCCCACCCAGGAAGGAGACTAGTCCCCAATTCCTACGTGGCACATTTCACCTGTAGACCCCAAAGCACATTACAAACAACGGGGAAGATCAGGATCCCCCTTTTTACAGACGGGGAAACTGAGGCACAGCAGCAGAGCTAAGAACTAGAACGCGGTTTCCTGACCTGCACACAGGAGAAAGCAACATGAAAAGGAGGAAGGAGACTAGTCCCCAATTCCTACGTGGCACATTTCACCTGTAGACCCCAAAGCACATTACAAACAACGGGGAAGATCAGGATCCCCCTTTTTACAGACGGGGAAACTGAGGCACAGCAGCAGAGCTAAGAACTAGAACGCGGTTTCCTGACCTGCACACAGGAGAAAGCAACATGAAAAGGATCCGCCCCCCCCCCCCCCCCGTCTTCAGGCGTCCCCCCCAAATGAACTAGCCCCTAGAGAACAATTGGACAGGAAGATGGCACACAAAAAGGGATTCCCCGACCAAAGCAAATACTCAGTCGATGCAGCCTTAGCAGACTGTGGGCCGCTGGCTGAGACATACTGTAAAGCCCCCTGGGTCACGACATGAAACAGTCTTTAAAGTGCTACCCGACTCCTTTCTGTTTTTGCTGAAACAGACTAACAGGGCTCCTCTGTGAATCCTAAACAGGAAGGCTACGTCTAGACTGGCATGATTTTCCGGAAATACTTTTAACGGAAAAGTTTTCCGTTAAAAGCATTTTCGGAAAAACGCGTCTAGATTGGCAGGACGCTTTTCCACAAAAGCACTTTTTGCAGAAAAGCGTCCGTGCCGATCTAGATGCGCTTTTCCGCAAAAAAGCCCTGATCGCCATTTTCGTGATCGGGGCTTTTTTGCGGAAAACAAATCTGAGCTGTCTACACTGGACTAAAAGGACTTTTGCCCGAATGGGAGCAGCATAGTATTTCCGCAAAAGCACTGACAATCTTACATGAGATCGTTAGTGTTCTTGCGGAAATTCAAGCGGCCAGCGTAGACACAGCCGAAGTGTTTACTTCCCAGATAAGGGGTTTATTTTCATAGAATCACAGCACTGGAAGAGCCCTCAGAAGGCGTCAAGTCCAGCCCCCTGCCCAAGGCAGGACCAATCCCAACTAAATCAACCCAGCCGGGGCTTTGTCTGGCCTAGCTCAGAATTTTTTTTCCAGTTGGCCCATTTTTAAATGTTGTGGTGGGGGGAGGGAGGTTAGTTAGCCAGCTATTTAAGTGGCCGGCCGCGTTTTCATTTAATCGTAAGTGCTTGTTCACTCCAGGGTGCTTGGCCGTAAGTGGTGAGCGAGGGAGCGATTCCGAAGCCACTCACGTCCTGCCTTCCTCGGCCTGGTCCCGGGTACAGACTAACCCTCACCCGCCAGCCAACCCTTCTCTCACCCCACCCTGGACTTAAGCAGTCTCCGGGCTGCTCTCGCTAGTCTTGTGAACTAGAGGAGGAGAATGCAGGTTGCACCTCCTTAAACTGAGCCTCTCTGCTCTGGCAACATCTGAGGTCCAGCAGGACCACGGACGTTTCTGGACCACAGAGCCCACGGGTCGGGGGAGCTGGCGGGCGGCAGGGGGACCACAATCCTGCCAGGGTTGGCAGCAGAGCCGGCTGGTGGCAGGGGGCTACCAGATTCAGAAGCGGAGCTAGCAGCAGGGCGGGGCCGGCAGGGGACCTCCCCTGATCTGGCAAATTCCCTCATTCAGGACCGGACAGGACCTGAGGGTGCCGGACCAGGGAGATCGCACCTGGAACAGGTTTGTATTATCTACCACTAGGCGTTGGACTCTTCTGGACTTTGGCAACAGCTAGCTGGGCTCCAGACCGTGAAATGAGGTCTTTCTCCGCGCCGGAAAACCAGCGGGCGCATTTCCTCCGTCAGTGGCAGCCGCAGGATTTCACGACCATGTTGCGGTGCTTTTTGAGGATCACGTTGTTGTTGCTGTCGTAATAGAGGACCGAGGTCGCGCTGAGCTTGGTGGGCGCACAACAGGCCTTGGGAACCGCCTCGGGCTTCATCAGATGAACCTGGGCAGGAAGCAAGCGAGCAAAGGTGAGCATTTTCCTGTTTTGACCAAGCTGCAGGCTCCGGGCAGGAGCAGGAACTCGCAGCAGGGAGAAACGAGCCCTCTCCAGGCAAACATGTGGTTTGTCGATTTCGTGAAACGCAAGCGCTTCAAAGCGAGCAGCCCGTACCTGGGGAAAGGCGCAGGTTGAATGGGCGGATTATTTCCCAGCTTTCCTCAAAATATTGACTCTCAACATTTGGCAGCGCGCGCTGCCGTTTACACTGGACTCTTTCTCCTGGCTCCGCTCCGGCAGGGCAACGCATCAGTTCAACCGAGATTTCTGTGCTGCGCCCTTGTCACGAAACATACGCACCCCAGTCAGAGCCCGCGCAGGGCTGAGGCGGCGGCCGCAAACCGGTTTGTTTTTGTTACCCGGGAATGAAATATTTGGTTTCGCTCAGCGCCTAGGAGCAAGGAGCACGGAGAGTCCACCCCCCCACCGGGTGTTCGGTGTCCAAACTGAAAATTAATGTGGTGCAAAAAGCACTAAGTACACAACCGTGTCTCCTCTCTGAAAGTGACGCTGCCTTGGCACAGTCGCTGGGTAACATTCACACTCACTCACTGTTTCTACTTCAGCACAAAAGCCAAAGGGGGTGAGATGCCTAACGCCCACTGAAATCACTGGGAAGGCAGGGTCATGGGTTCACGTCCTGCCTCTCCTGGGTCGGGTCAGGGCAGCCAAAAGCTGGGCGGCCCCAGGGCAGGAGGGCTAAAGGCTGCCCTTCCGAGCAGGTTGCAGGGCATGTTCTGGTGTGGCCTAGGGGCTAGGGTGCTCACCTGGGGTGGGAAGGGTCATGGGTTCCTGTCCTGCATTGTCCTTTTGGGAGTCTGGGCTTTGATCTTTTTTAACTGAATGTCCTTGTGCCCCTCCCAACACCGGATGCTTGTGCACGTGGCTTCCCGGCAGAGCCGTGGAACGGGTGCGTGGCTCACACTGGATGGGTTTGCTCGGCACAGACTGTCATGGGAACAGTGGCGATTTGGGACGACTCGCCTGGCAAGGCAACGTGGAAGGCCTGTCCAAACAGGCGGGTCCCTGAGAAACCCTGTGGGATTGGAGCCCACAGGAGGAAAACTGGCCCCACTGAACACACCCGCAAAACTACCACCCGCTTCCCCGAGGCAAAGCGGCCTCGAGTCTTTATAGTGTGGCCTGATGGTGCATGGGGCTTCGGGATGTTACCAGAGACGAACATTAACCACAAACAACAACGTGTATCTCTGTACAGCAGCCCAGCGGCTTTCAAAGGACAGGTCGTGACCCAGCGCTGGGGGGTGGAATGTCGGGCCCTGGGGGATCGTGTGACCAGTAGGGGGCGCTAAGGCAGCTCCCTGGCACCGCAGACTGCGCTGCACCCCAGAAACAGCTGTCAGCAGACCCGGCTCCTAGGTTTGGAGGGAGAAGCACAGGGCTCCCTGCACGGCCTCTGCCCTGAGCACTAGCTCCACCCTCTATTCCCCAGCTGTGCCACTCCAGGGGATGCTGGGAAGAGGTGGAGAGGGGTGGAGCAAGGATCCCCCACTTTCCCCTGTCACCAGTCACTGTTGGCTGCAGCACCCCCATGTTGGAAGTGGTTTCCATTATATACAGGGTTTCCAGTTTGCTTCAACAGGACCCCCACTACAAAAATTGTTCTAGACCCCTAGATAGAAGTCTCTTATGCCACTTAACTTATTCTTGTCCCACATGGGAATTATCCTCATGCTAGAAGACTTACCTGGCATTGCCTGGGTCCTTCAGGGCAGGGGGCTGGTGGTGTGGGGGTGTGGGGGTCAGAACAGGGCCTGGGGACGTGTGGGGCTCAGGGCAGGCGGACAGGAGCATGGGAAGAGGGCAGGAATCAGGGCAGAGGATGAGGAGAGGGTGGGGGTGGTCTCTGACTTCCCCCTGGAGGTGGCCCAGGGCAGCAGGGACTGCGCATCCCATCTACCAGCTTATACCGGGAGGGGGCAGCGAGGGTTCCTCCCTCCCCCCTTGACCCAGCCTGGAGTGGGGGGGCACTTACCTGGTTTACAGGCAGGCAAAATGCAGAGCCTCCCTTGGTGGGCCGGGGCCCCCCAGCGGCCACTCTCCTATCGCATCCCTCCAAACAGCAGCCCCTCCCTTTGCATATCATGGAAAACAGTCCCATTCCCGGGGCTTCTGGTAGTCCTGGCACCACCAAACCCCGGCCCTGCTTTACGTTAGGAGAAGAGGAAGCTGCCGACGGAATGTGGTGGCCCCAGCGCTAGGAGCTCCTGACCAAGGCCGGGGCCCCCCAGCGGCCACTCTCCTATCGCATCCCTCCAAACAGCAGCCCCTCCCTTTGCATATCATGGAAAACAGTCCCATTCCCGGGGCTTCTGGTAGTCCTGGCACCACCAAACCCCGGCCCTGCTTTACGTTAGGAGAAGAGGAAGCTGCCGACGGAATGTGGTGGCCCCAGCGCTAGGAGCTCCTGACCAAATGGACTCGCAGATGAGCTCAGATGTGCCCAGGGCAAGAGGGTTATCTCCTCCAGGGGTCCCCTACACCGGGACTCTCTGGTTTGGCAATGGGCCACGGCTGTTCCTGGACCACAGAGCCCAGAGACAGGGAGGTCTGGCAGCAGGACGGGAGTGCAGCGGGGCTGGGGGGCAGAGCTGGTGACTTGGCTGGGATTCCTGTGGCAGGGGGGTGAGCAGCGCAGTGGGGAACTCCAGCCCTGGCAGCCAGGGAGCTCCAGCCCCAGGGATCCCCGTCTGGGCCAACAGCAATCCTGAGTCAGTGGGGCCAGGCATGGGGCAAATGGAGCCGGCAGCAGGGAGGGGCAGTTGGACTTCCCATCGTCCAGCAATTCCCTTCGTTCAGGACCGGTGAGGTCCCGAGGGTGCCGGACCAGGGAGGTCCGACCTGTACCAGGCACATGCATCGACCAGCGGTCAAGGCAGGGACTCCTAGCCCAACGGCTTCCAATCTAGCAAAAGCAACATGCCTCCCGGAGACTAGTCCGTGCTTTCAAACGTTACGGCCAGTAACCTGCGCGGCGGGGAGGCATTCGCAGCACAGGCCTGGTCCGCTCCACCCCCACTGGAGACGTTCTCCCCCGAGAGAGGATATGTCTGAAAAAGCAAGCGACCGGCAGCTGCCCACCATGGCCAGGAACCGGCGCCAAGCGGCCGCAAGCCACGGAAGCCCTGACGCCTCCATCCGCTACTGACCAGGGACTGCAGGATGGCGTGGTTGGTTGCATTCATGCAGGAATCCAGAGGAAAGGCGCAGTCTCCTTCGCAGTAAAAGGCGGAATATCCCTGGGGGGCAATCACCCAGTCCTGCCAAGAGGAAGACGGTATCACCGATGGCTATTCTGCACATTGCGTTCGCCCCCAGTGCCGCCGCGCCCCGGCTGCTCAGCGCGGGGCCAGGGAGCTGCTAGCTGTTACGGTTTATTCTGATTTGTCTAGGGCCCAAGGGTGCCGGATCAGGGAGGTCCAAGCTGTATTGGGCACATGCATGGACCAGCATCCCTATGGCAGGGGCACTGATGGGTTTCGGGCGGTGTCAGTTCACGGCTGGCTTAGTCACAACCAGCGATGTTGTTACAGCCAGTCCTGGTGAAATCTCCCAGGTCAGATCAAAGGGAGGCAGAGGTCCCCGGCTCTAAATTGCCTTCTCTCCCCGGAGGAGTAGAGGCGGGGGAGTCAGACGGACAGCGCTACTTCCACAGGTTTCCCCACTGAATTTGCCTGGGTAGGAATTTATATGGCCGAAGACAGAAGGGTGGGGGAGGGGGGAGGATTTACCAGCCATCCAAGGTCCTGAAAGCTGACATAGAGTTCGTGCCTCCTGCAAACCTGTCTGCCTTCAGAGACATGAATGTCATCTGGTGGGAGGGGAAAAAAGAAGAGGGGGAAGGAATAAAAAATACCCGTCACTCGGCTTGCAAAGATAAACAACCCGACAATTATTATAGAATCCCAGAACACTAGATCTGGAAGGGACCACGAGAGGGGATCCAGACCAGTCCCCTCCCCACACGGCAGGGCCAAGCACCGTCTAGACCACGGGTTCCCAAACTGGGGGGCGTGAAGAAATTCCGGGGGAGGCGCAAGGCAATCCAGCCTCCCCCCCGCCCCATCAAGTTTTGCTGCACCGGTCAGTTCCTTTTTTTTTTGCTCAACAAGTTTTGCTGCTTTTTTGGGGGGAGGGGCATGTGAGGGTTTTTCAAAAATCAAAAAGGGGGCGTGATGCCAAAAAGTTTGGGAACCGCTGGTCTAGACCATCCCTGACAGGTGTCTGTCCAACCTCCTCGTCAATATCTCCAGTGATGGGGATTCCACAACCTCCCTGGGCAATTTATTCCAGTGTTTCACCACCCTGACAGTTAGGAAGTTTTTCCTCATGTCCAACCTCAACCTCCCTTGCTGCAGTTTAAGCCCGTTGCTTCTTGTCCTGTCCTCAGAGGCCAAGGAGAGCAAGTTTTCTCCCTCCTCCTTGTGACACCCTTTCAGCTATTTAATTTTTTGTAAGGCATTCATCCTAACCATCATCTCCACTTGTGCCTGGCCATGCGTCAGAAACATCTCCAACCCATGGGATGCCTTTCACCCTCTCCTCCACTCTCGGGATGGTTTTGACACTGGTGCTAATGTTGATAGCACACTTAAAGGAGGCCACTATTCGGATATACCGCACCCAAAAAAGTCTAATGAAGCCCTTCCCTGGGGACACTGGGGACAATACAATTTCTCTGCCACTTGGCTTTATAATCCCTATTCTAGAAGGTTCCTATTCTAAAAAAGAAAAGCTCTCTCCAAGCCTAGTTCATCTGGAACGTGCTCCAGGACACATCAGAGCCGTGTGTTTCAACCAAAAGAGAAATTCCTGAAGGAGGGAGGGGCTGACAAAATATACCACAGTTAGCATAGCAAAGGAAAATTGTGTTTCAGATAAAGATCATTTTCTTTACTGTAAATACAGCGCTTGTGCTCCCTCGAGCTAGCTAGGTCTCTAACCCAAAGCTCTTACCAAAAATCCCGGGAAGCTTGTTTGGATGCGGTAAGTCGTTCGTTTTCTTGGGCTGCCTCTTCCTTAGCTGCTTGACGGCTCGAGTAACCCGGACCGGATTTTGGCTTGCCCGGAAAAAAGTGACCATGAAAGGCTGCTTGGAGCGTGGCCCGCGCCGACCCAGCAGTCCCGCTAAGCCTGGATCGATGCTGTGTCCTGCAGTGGGCCGAAAACACACGTTTCTTCCACCAAATATGCAAGCGAGGCTGTAAAACTTAAATCGCTTTAGGCAAAAGGGGGGGGGGAAAGTAAGGCCGACGAACAGTTTAAAAAAATCAGTAAAATCCAATCAAGTCCCGGAGTCATCTCCTTGCACCTTCACCAGTTGCTGCCTTCTATTATTTCCACCTCGGCTAGCCACCTTTCCTCCCACTGGGAGGGACTGGGACTTTTCATCTTAGAAAAGAGGAGACTAAGGGGGGATATGAAAGAGGTCTGAAAAATCATGACAGGTGTGGAAAAAGTGAATAAGGAAAGTTATTGACTTGTTCCCATAACATAAGAACTAGGGGTCACCAAATGAAATGAACAGGCAGCAGGTTTAAAACAAACCAAGGGAAGTTTTTCTTCATGCAGCGCACCGTCAACCTGTGGAACTCCTCGCCAGAGGATGTTGTGAAGACCAGGACTTTAACAGGGTTCAAAAAAGAGCTAGATACATTCATGGAGGTTGGGTTCACAATTAGCCAGGATGGGTAGGAATGGTGTCCCTAGCCTCTGTTTGGCAGGGGAAGGACATGGATGACGGGAGGGATCACTTGATGATTCCCTGTTCTGAGGCATCTGGCATTGGCCACTGTGGTCAGACAGGACACTGGGTGAGATGAACCTTTGGTCTGACCCCATCTGGCCATTCATATGTTCCCGCCTGAGTTGTTCATAATCCACATTTCAGCATCAAGACAGAGACAAAAGTGCCCAGAGCAAATGAATGGGCCTTTTCACTGGGCTGAAGTTCTACTTGCACATTAAAGAGACACCTACCCCCCTGGGCACTAGGAACAGCGTTCGCACCACAGCCTTCAAAAGGGGCGGGGTGAGCGCTCTCCTGGATATTCCCCGTGAACCCGGGTGCAGCCACCTCCGCCCCCCACCCTCCTAACTCAGCTTTGCCAAACTGGCAGCCCTAGTGACAAGCCAACCAGCCAGAACCCACTCCAGGTCACGCCAATAAATGCTGGCTGAAAAGATTTTCACAGACAGCTGGATTAGTATTGAAAACCAACCAGCCTTCGACCCCGGCCTGCAGCTCCTGAAGGTCTAAGAGGAATAAGTCAGATTCCCTGCAGAAATGGGGCAAAAAATAAGCAAAGATGAACTGAGGTTAGAGACTGCCTGGTGCTGAAATGGTCCGCTCTTCAGAGGGACTGTCCTTTTGTTCTCTGTCCGTTCTTGTTCTAGCTCATGGGTTCCCAAACGGGGAGATGGGGCGTGCCTCCCTGGGGGAGCATGAAGAAATTCCGGGGGGGTGCTAGGTGACCCCCCCGGTCAATCCCACCCCAAGTTTTGCTGCTATTTTTTTTGGCAGCAGGGGCATGAGGGGTTCTCAAAAATCAAAAAGGGGGGCGTGATGCCAAAAAGTTTGGAAACCGCTGTTCTAGCTGCTACTGCAGTACTGATCATGAGTAATAATGGGCGGCATAATTTAAGAACATCAGAACGGCCAGACCGGAACAGACCAAAGGTCCATCCGGCCCAGTGTCCTGTCGGTCGACAGTGGCCAACGCCAGGTGCCCAGAGGGAGGGAACAGAACAGGGAATCATCCAGTGATCCCTCCCCTGTCACCTATTTCCAGAGAAACGGAGGCTAGGGACACCATTCCTACCCATCCTGGCTGATAGCCATGGATGGACCTATCCCCCATGAATCTATCTAGCTCTTTTTCGAACCCTGTTAAAGTTCTAGTCTTCACCACATCCTCTGGCGAGGAGTTCCACAGGTTGACAGGGCACTGAGTGAAGAAAAACTTCCTTTTGTTTGTGTTAAACCTGCTGCCTATTCATTTTATTTGGTGACCCCTAGTTCTTATATTGTGGGAATAAGCAAATAACTTTTCCTTATTCACTTATTCCACAACAGTCATGATTGTACAGACCTCAATCTTATCCCCACTTAGTCTCCTCTTTTCTAAGTACATTTCTGACATTTACTCTGGAAAAAAGCACGCTGCCCAATGTCCAAGAGTGAAAAGATTTGAGAATGCCTTTGGTCCATACGGGACAGGTATATCACTACCTTGTTAATTACTGATGAAGTGGGTTTTGCCCACAAAAGCACATGACTCTATATATTTTGGTTAGTCTCTGGTGCCACAGGACTACTCGTTGTTTTTAAAGTTACAGCCTAACACAACAACCCCTCTGAGATGTTTTAATTAATTATCATCACTTATTGAAATACATGGGAAGGATCAGAGGTGCTGGAACAAGAGGGGTGTGTGGGAGAGGAGGGCGGGGGGGGCGGGGAGTGTGGGTGCCGCACCCCCTGGCTTGAAGTGGTTTCCATGTGGGTCTAGGTCTCTATCAGAAAACCCATTTTTCAGTTTCCAGCTGAAAAGCACCGGTCGGTCCCCCGCACCTGTTGGAATGCTCCTTCATGATCTCATAGATACCGATGTGCAGGGTTTTGTTGACATCACGAATGAAACTTCGCAGCTTATAAATTCGGAATTCAGCAGCTGTTACTGACTCTCCTGTGGGAATCTGGGTCAGGTCAAACCGAAATTCCTTCCAGTACGGCTTCTGGGAGAAGATGTCTCTGTCGTGTTCAACTGGAAAATAAAGGATGGGGAGGGGGTTTTGACGATACCGGACATTTACCACTTTTGCTAACGGGCCATTGTTAAATCCCAGGCTGTGTCTAGACTGGCAAGTTTTTCCGCAAAATCAGCTGATTTTGCAGAAAAACTTGCCAGCTGTCTACACTGGCCGCTTGAATTTCCGCAAGAACACTGACGATCTCATGTAAGATTGTCAGTGCTTTTGCGGAAATACTATGCTGCTCCCGTTCGGGCAAAAGTCTTTTTCCGAAAGACTTTTGCGCAAAAGGGCCAGTGTAGACAGCACAGGACTGTTTTCCGCAAAAAAGCCCCGATCGCGAAAATGGCCATCGGGGATTTTTTGCGGAAAACCGCGTTTAGATTGGCCACGGACACGTTCCGCAAAAAGTGCTTTTGTGGAAAAGCGTCCTGCCAATCTAGACGCGGTTTTCCGAAAATGCTTTTAACGGAAAACTTTTCCATTAAAAGCATTTCCGGAAAATCATGCCAGTCTAGACGTAGCCCCAGTGTGTCCCGAAGCAACTGGGTTTTAACAGGCTCCTCTCGAATGAAATTTGCATTCATTGATCAAGATCTCCCTCAGGGCCGGCCCACAACATTTTGGCACCTGAGGCGGGGAGCTCAAATGACGCCCCCATGACCCCTCCCTTGGGCCAAAACTTGGAAAGGGCTCAATTCTGCCTCCTGCCTGTTCTTTGTGCCCTTTCTCCAGCACAGCCCTTCGCCATCTCTGCGCATCTGGAGCGGAAAGAATGCATCTGCACATGCAGC